CCAAAAATGCCCCTTTTTCCCACCCTGCCTGAGGGAGGATGCTGGAAGTGCTGCAGATTCCTCTAGAGGGAAACCTACACTTGCAGCAGCTTGATGGGAGCAGCTCTTTGCAGCACTGAAACGCTGACTCATCCTCCTCCTCCTCCTCCTCCTCCTTCCCCTCCCATTCCCAGCACACGGCTCCGCCAGCCAAAATAAATCTCGGGTACCTTCCTGCCCTCATTTATTTGTTTGGCAGCGCTTCACAGACGACTTTGAGTCTTTTTTTTAAAAAAAAAAAAAAAGAAATAAAATATTGCTGAGCAATCCCCTGATGGAAAAAGTCTTTTTCCCTACGGATCCCAACCTGGATTTCAGGGCAGAGCTCTGCAGTGCCAGCCTGGCTGCAGGAGGGTGGGGGGGGACTCTGCACCACCAGGAGAAAACAGCACAGGCACTGCAAAAGCAGGAGTTTGGCAAGGGCAGGGATGAACCCAGCCCTGGTGTGCTGAAGGGAAGAGCTGTGCTGAAACTCAAGTGGAAAATCCCTCCCAGGAGGGCTGGATGCAGGGATGTGCCCCGTGCTGCCACTCCCAACCTGCTCCTGGCCACATTTTCCCACCGGCAAGGAAATGGGGGTGGAAAAGCAGCAGGATTGAGGTGCTGGAGCATCCTGCAGCAGCTTCAGACCTGGCAGGGATCAGGAATTTCATCCCAGTCACAGGAGCAGGGCTGGCACAGCAGGAATTGTGCAGGAAGGGGTTGGAACTGCAGCCAAAAATGGGAACGTTTTTGTACAGGGTGGGAGCAGCAGAGGGAATGCATTTTAAATAGGAATTCCAGAGGTGGAAGGACTGGATTTCTCAATAATAAATCACCTATAATAACCTATAAATTATCTAGGATAATTATCTGTGCAATAACCACTTTGCTCTTCCCTTGGGCCTCACCTGTCCATCACCCCCATTCAAACAGACAAATCTTCCTTTACAGACATTTGCCCTCAAAACCACGGGAATTTTTAAAAATAGGAGAAACCTGGGCAGTAGGAACCCAGGGAGATGCAAACTTCAATTCTCATTTTTAGGAGCAGGAGTGGGGCTGCCACAACATCCATGCTCCATCCCAGCTCTGCCAGCCTGGCCAAGGACTCTGCTCCAGCCATTCCAAACCTTCCTCCCCTCCCCAGAATTCAGCAAAGGCATTTTTGGGGAGCACACGAGGAACAGGGAGGAACTGAGTCAATATTTGGCCTCGGTGCTGGATCCGAGGCTGTGGAAGGAGTTTGAACCTGAACATGGAACTGATGCCCCTGTTTTTATAGGACAGAGCACAATTTCCTTTTTCTCCTGTTGCCAGGCCTGGGATGCAGCCCCATTTTATCATCAGGATTCTCCACAGGAAGCAGGAGCTGCAGAGCTCTGATAACATTGGAGGAAACCCTGGAAACATTTAAAGGATTGTTTTAGCCCCGGGCTTTGCCTCAAATAAACCTGCTGAGCTTCTTCCTTACATACAACCCTTCAGCATTGACCTTCAAAACAACAACCCCCAACCAGGCTTTTATTGAGCCTCCACAGAGCAAACACCACCTTCCTCCTGCTCCCATCCCCTCCAGAATCAAAGCCTGCAGCTCCCAGGGATTAGCAAAGCCAGGGATGATGAGCAGAGCCTTTGGGACCCGCTTCCCTGAGAAGAATCAGGGAAAACAGGGTGTAAATAAGGCAGAAATTCCCAGTTGTGTCCCCAGTGAGGTTTGCAGAGCCAGCTCCCACACTGAGGGCTCAGCAAAACCCACCCAGCACACAACAAAACCCTTTTCATCCAGCTCCAGTGAAACCCAGCCCAAAGGCAGCAGCTCCTCATTTTTGGCAGAGCAAGTGGGTGAAGATCAGCTGGGCCAGGCTGGGCTTTGCTGCAGGCAAACTCAAACCACCCTCCTAATTACAGACCTTGTCACTAATTACAGCTGAGGTTTCTGGGCTTGCAAAGTGACTGTTTTTGATGCTTTCTCACCACGTTCAGCTCTGGGTTAAACTTGGTTTATCCAAGGTGGACAAACAGGTGAGAAGGTGCTGCTGGCAGGAGCCACAAAGCTGAATTTTCCAGAGCCAGGAGAGCAGGAGGGAAAAAAAATCCTTTCTGCAAATAAGTCAAGATTTAAACTGCTCCATTCAGGGGCTGCTTCTCTCCAGAGCAAAGGTTAATCCAGGTCTAGAGGTGACAGAACAGCCACAGAGGGACATCAGAGAACCCCCAGAGATCAGAGAATCTGGAATGGGTTGGGTTGGAAGGGACCCTAAATCTCATCCAGTTCCATGTTCAGGGACACCTCAACTGTCCCAGGGGGATCCAAGCTGGCCTTGGGCACTGCCAGGGATCCAGGGGCAGCCCCAGCAAATCTGGGAATTGCAGCCCAGGCAGGAATTCCTTCCCAAGATCCCATCTGACTCTGCCCTCTGGCACTTTGAAGCTCTAAAATCTCTTCCACAGCTTTGACCTGAATCACCAGCTTGGTCCACGAGTTGTTCAGTGTGAGGAAGCAAAATAAAATCAGTTCTGTGTAATTAAAATGAATAATGAAGTCCTAATGAGTGGCCAGGAAAACCAAGGCAGAGCCAAACCCTGTCCCTGTGAGGATGGACAGGGCCTTTCTGCAGGAAATCACACTCAGACACCAAATGATTCCTGTCATGCCCCCCAAAGGTTCTCAGCTATCCCAGTGCCAAACCCTGGACACTGGGAGGGTGAAATCCCTTCCCAGCCAGGCAGCTCCAGCATTTCCCCACCCTGCAGGAGCCACTTTCTCCCTGCTCCTACTCTCAACCCACCCCTGCTGCACTTTAAGCTCATGATTTCCCATTCTCAGGTGCAAACTGCACTTAAATCCCACTGAGATGTTCCTAAACCCCCCCAAAAGAGGGGATTCTGTGAATTCCTTCCCTGCAGCTCGTGCTGCTTGCAACCCATTCCTGTTTTTGGGAGAGAAAATCCCAGCCAGAGGAGCTGCAGCCACACAGCTCATCCAAGTCTCTCCTCACGAGGCACACAAAGCTCAGCTCTGCCTGAGCTTGAGATTAAACTGTGACCATTGAAGTGCATTTAAAAAAAACTCCTGGAGTGGAAACCCTCTGGGAAAGGAGCAATGCTGGGAATGAGTCCAGGAAAGCAGGGAGCTGTCAGAAGCCAGCAGTGTGGAGGGACACTCCTGGTGATTATCCACTGGTTGGATGGACAAGGAACTGAATTCCAGCAGGATCACACATCCCTGCCTCAAAATCAGCATCCATGAGGATGTGGGCAGGCATGGCCCTCCCTGCCTCCTTCCCAGGGCTGCCAAGAGGGGAAAACCTGCTGGTTTCTCCCCCATTTCCCAAAGAAAAGGGCCCAGAGAGAGATGCTGAGGGCAGCTCCATCCCATCCCATCCCATCCCATCCCATCCCATCCCATCCGTGCTTCCCTGGCTGCCTCAGGCACTTTTGGAGTCACTGCCTGAATACAGCAGGATTTTCAAGCCTTGATTTTTTATCCTAGGCCCTAATCAGCAGGTTTCTTCTCCCAAAATTAGAAAGAAAAATTAAAAGAATGATCTTGAGTGGGAATACTCTGTCCTTCCTCAAGGACAGGGTGCAGAGACCAGAATCCTTCAGGCTTATCCACAAATCCTGCCCTGGGAGGTGACACCAAAGCACTGCCAGGGGCTTGAGCGTGCTGGGAATCCTGGAATCACAGCATGGTTTGGGTGGGAAGGGACCTTCAAAGCCCATCTGCCATGGACAGGGACCTTCCAGCATCCCAGGCTGCTCCAAGCCCCATCCAGCCTGGCCTGGGACATCTCCAGGGACAGGGAATGCCAGAGCATCCACAGGGATTCACCTCTGCAGCCCCCAGTGTCTCCTGCTGCTGGAATGGGACAGAGCTCCCACATCCTGCCTGGTCCTTCCCAAGGATGCACTTTGTGGGACAGAGCTCTGGGCCTGTGGGATGGGATATTCCTGATATTCCTGATATTCCTGATGTTCCTGATGTTCCTGACCCAGGGGAGCAGCTCCTGCCTGTCCCAGTGTCCCCAGCTCTGCCTGTGCAGCTTCAGGAGGAGCATGACACCTTCCTGAGGAAAGGAGGAATTTTGGGGCTGGCTCTGAGGGTTGTGCTCATCCCTTTGCAGGTTTTAGCCATGTGGGAGCCAGGTTATGTGGAATAAACCAGGAGTGCCCTCATCGTTAAAGGAGGCTCAGACTGAACTCAAATCCTTCTGCTGAATAAATTAGAAAACCCCTCTAATAAACCAAACCTGCAGAGTGAAGCAGCTCTGAGTGCTGCTTGTTTGCTCTGGCTCATTTTAACCCCATTTCCTGCCTCTCACTCACAACAACCTCGACCTCTGCACTGCCAGCTCAGCTCCAGGAGTGATAAATTCCTCAAGGAACAGCACAAACACCACAAAACCCGAGGATTTGGAGGGATGAATCATCACACGAAGCAAGAACTGTTAGAGATTTGTAACTGGGAGAAGGGAAGGCTGGGATGGGATGGGAAGAGGAAAGAGCAGGGGTGGGATTGGTGATTTTGGGAATATTGGTGATATCTCATGTAACCAAAGTGCTGCACCCTGCCCAGACCCTGTAGGGGGGTGTGGGGCTCGTGACAACAATGTGACCACACATCCCAATATCCCACAGCCCAGCCTGACCGCCAGGGAGGCTTTTTCAGCTCATTAGAGGATAACCATCCTTCCTTTGGAGGCCACAGAACCACTCGGTGTGACCACAGTGAGCCTCACCTCTGCTGAGGGAATCCTCTGCATGGAGGGCATCCCTCCCTTCCCTGAGAGGAAAACACACCCCACATCCAGCAGAGGTGGAAACCAGGAGAGGATCCAGGAAATTCCTCCTCCCTTTGAGAGCAAAGAAGCATCGCCCCTGCTCTGACCTTGCCTGGGCACTCCCGGGAGCATCCAGGAATTGGGAATTTGGGGCAGGAATCACCAGCCTGGAGCTCCACAGCCCCTTGCACTGACCTGGGTTTCTGAGGGGACTCTTTGGGCTCCTTGGACCCAAACCAGCCGCTGCTCTTACTCCTGTCCTCCCCTGCGGCCGAGCTGTGGACGGGGGTCCCTCTGTCCCCCTGGCCTTTGCTCCCCACGTCGCTCCTGCTGCCCCCGTGGTGGAAGAAGCCTCCCTTGGCTTTCTTGTCCTCCTTCCTGCCGTCCTCAGCTGCTCTGTCCTTGGCCGGCTCCGTGGGGAAGCCCAGAGGAGCTGCGGCCTGGCTGGCTTTGCTCTCCTCCATCCTGGCCCTGCCCAGGTGGTTGCTGAGGGTCACGGCCTTGGTGGACACCTTGAGCTCTTCCTGCAGGGCCAGGCTGGGAGGGGATGGGATGAACCTGGGCTCATCCCTCTGCTGAGCCCTCTCCAGGCTGCCCAGCCCCCAGGGCACGTCCTGGGGCTCGGAGTGCAGGGGGGTGAAGCCCAAAGGCTCGTCCTGCCTGCGGGGCAGGGCCAGGGGGGCAGAGGCAGGGCCGCCCCTCGGGGCTGCATCCTCCCCGTACACGTGGCTGCCGTTGATGCACAGTGAGGAGCGGGACACGGGGTCCTGCTTGGCCCTGGGGCTCTGGGGAGCTCTGGGCTCCGGGCTCAGCTGGGACACGTCGTCACTGAAGGCTCTCTTGTGGCTCAGCTTCGGCGAGGCCAGCAGGTCTTTCACTGGGGAAAGCAAACACAGAACACGTGAGGCCGTGGGCACAGCATCCTTGTCTTCCACCTGTAAAATGTTCCAAGAGATCTGGGAAATCACCCCAGATCTCTCCTTCACAGCCTTCTCCCTGCCGGGCTTTGCAAATTCCTGGAAATGCAAAGCACGGCTCGAAGGAGACACAACATTGACCCTGAGCACGGCAGGGGAGGACCCCAGAGGAGGCTCTGCAAGATGGCAAACCCATTGTCTGACAGGATCTGGGGTTGATAATAAATGCAAGGAACTCCCCAGAAGCTCCTTAAAGGGTTTTAAAGCTTCCATGTGACTCACGAGTTTGCACTGAACAGGAGATGATGGGGCCATGAGCCCCAGGCACTGTTTCCAGTGCCTCCATCTCCCTGGATTTTGATCATCTCAAAAATCTTTTCCAACCTTAACCATCCCGTGATTCCACGACCTTGTTGTTACTGACAATTTTGGGGGTGTAAAACAGGAAAACAACTGGCACAGCTGCTCCCTGCTCCCAGCTGGGGATGCTGCTCCCTCCACAGAACCCTGGAATTGTTTGGGCTGAGAGTGACCTGAGAGATCACCCAGTTCCAACCCCCTGCTATGGGAAGGGAAGCTCGCAGTAGCTGCAAGGCTGATCCCAAGGCTGATGGAAGCAGCACAGGAATGTGACCCAGCAGAAGCCACACGGCCTCCCTGGGGACTCCCACCCCACCTGGCAGTGTGCTGTCTGCAGCCAACTCAACCATTAAATCATAGATTTGTTTCCAAGGGAGAATTAATTCCCTACAAGGGCCTTTTTTGTTCGGAAATCACTGCCTTGGGTGTGCCAAGAGCTCAGATTGTTTTAATCTCTGCCTGTGAGCCGGAGGCGGCTCATTAGGGACAGCAGTGACCCAGGGCAGGGCCAGCAGCTGCTGAGCCCAGCCCAGCCCAGCCCAGCCCAGCCAGGCCCAGCCCAGCCAGGCCCTTCCTGGCAGGGACCGAGAAGGAGCAGCCCTGAAGATCCCTCAGGTCCTGGGAACTCGTGCTGCAGGAATTTAAAGCAAAATGTGGGATGTTCCTGCCATTCTGGCAAACACCTCAGTGCCAGCACACAGGAGGTCTCGGGGGTTTGTGCAGGATGTCACCTCTTAGTGACATCCTGGAGAAAAGGAGGCTCAGGGGGGACCTTGTGGCTCTGCACAACTCCCTGACAGGAGGGGACAGCCAGGGGGGATTTGGGGTCTGGGAACAGGGACAGGAGGAGAGGGAACAGCCTCGGAGGAGGCTCAGGGTGGAAATTTGGGAATTTCTCCATGGAAAGGGGGGTCAGGGATTGGGATCGCCCAGGGAGGTTTGGAGTGCCCATCCCTGGGGGGATTTCAGAGCTCTGGGGATGTAACACTCAGTGGTGGCAGTGCTGGGGGATTCCATGACCCTGGAGGGCTTTTCCAACCTAACCAAACCCAAAACTCCCTGATGCTGTGCCTGGGTACACAATCAGTTAACAGAGCTGCAAGGAACTCTCAAGAATCCCTTGCAAAGAAAGCAAAGGGGGAAAACCAGGGAGGGGGGATTATCCCTGATCCTCTTACCAGAACGCTCAGTGGACAGACTGCCATGTCTGCTGGGGGATTTGGTGGCCTCAGGGGCTGCCAGGCTCAGGCTGGCAGAGGAGATGGTGCTGTCAGAGCCCAGCGAGGTGTTGGACTGGCTCAGGGATGATTTACGCAGTTTGCTCTTCAGGAAGAAACCCTTGACCTTGGACTTTTTGCCCCCGAGCTCGAAGTCATCCTCCACATCCAGGGCTCCCATGCTGCTGGGGATGATGGCAGAGGCTGACTCCAGCTCGTATTTCTTTTTGCCTGTCACTTTGTCCTTCAGTTTCCCAAAGGGTGAGCGTGGCTTGTCCTTCATGGACAGGTCGAACATGCTGGCAGTCAGGTTGTTCCGTGTGAACTGGATGCTCACCAGGATCTCACCACGCTCCTTCTCCTTCTTCCCAGCCTTGGAGTGCAGCTTGTGCCACCTGCAGCCAGAAGGGACAGAAAAACAAAGGGTCCTTCTGTCATCTCCAGGAGAAATTTGGAGGAGATGCTGGCGGCTGGGAGAAAGCAGCAGCATGAGTTTGTCCAGGGAAAGGGAAATGGAAAATGTTGGAAGTGCCCATCCCTGGAGAGGTCCAAGGAGTGACTGGAGGTGGCACTCAGTGCTGGGGACAAGGTGGGGATTGGCACAGGTTGGACTCAGGAGGGTTTTTCCAAGCTCAAGTGGTGCTGGGATTCTAACCCAAGTGTCCCAGGTATCACCTGAACCCCAAATTAGAGACACAAAAACCACACATGGATGTGACACTCGGTGCTCTGGGCTGAGGACAGGGTGGAGATTGGACACAGATCCCATGATCCAATGACTTTTCCAAGCTCAGTGGTGCTGGGATTCTAACCCAAATGCCCCAGGTATCACCTGAACCCCAAATCAGAGACACAAACACCACACAGGGAGATGGCACATGGGACCTGACCCCTCCCTGATGCACCTTCAGCTCCATCTCCACCCCTGTCCTTCCCCCAAACCTTCCCTTCCACCAAATAACCTGGAAAACACCACTCAGGCCTGTCAGACAGCACTGGGATTTTCCAGGGGAAGCTGGGAGCTGTGTTTGGGAGGAGACAAAGCCACGGGTGTTTTGTGCTCGTGATTTAAATATCCCAGAGCTGGTGACTCAGGGATCCTTTCAGCACAGACTGACCCAGAATGGCAAAGGAGCTCAGCAGCATCCATTAAATCAACTTTCTGCCAGCCCTGCTGTGTCTCACTCCAATAAAGATGCTCAGGTTTTTTGGAAGTGTCCTTGGATCATCCTTTAAAGGATCCCAGGAGTTCTCTGGGGGAAGCAGCAGCTCCAGCTCCACCCAACACAAGCCCCCCCTTCCCAGTTATGATTTGGGGCCAATTCCCACATTCCCACAGCAGGTTCATGGTGACAGCTCCAGAAGGAGCTGCTGGGGAGCACAAAGCTCCCACTGCTTCCAGAGGATTACTGGGAATGCTTCCTGCTGTCCCACCCCACACAAAACCCATAACACAGACTTTGCTCCAAAGCTGTGCCCGTGGAAATGGAAAACATTGGAAAAGCCTCCAAAGCATTCAATGCACAAAGAAAAAACTCCCCCAACCTCCCTTTAGGTCCTGGTGTTTCCTCAGGGCATGGAGCAGCCTCTGGGATGGGGTGGGATGGGATAATGGGATAATGGGATAATGGGATGGGATGGGGGTGGGTGTGACCATGCTGGAATCACTAGGGTGAAGAAAGGACTGGAATTGTGTCCTTCAGGAGTTCCTGCATTTCTGCCAGGAAAGGTATCACAGGCTGGATGAAGGGAGAAGCTGGGAAGCCTGGGAATGCTGCCCCACACCCTGGAAGTGTCCCAGGCCAGGCCTTGGAGGAACTGGGACAGTGGGAGGTGTCCCTGCCCACGGGACTGGATGGGTTTGAAGATCCCTTCCAACCCAAATCAGTCTGGGATCCTATGAAGGGGGCACAGAACCCCATCATTCCCTGATCAATATTCCAATATTCCAGCATTCCAGCATTCCAATATTCCAATATTCCAGCATTCCAACATTCCAATATTCCAACATTCCAACATTCCAGCATTCCAACATTCCAGCTGGAATCACCCAGGTCCTTCACCACACAAAAGGCACGAGGGGCAGCACCTGGGACTTTGCTGGGCACAGACACAGAATTAAATCCCAATAAATCCACTCCAATTCCCACCACTCCCTTATCCCACCCCATCCATTGCCCACTGCAAAATTTGCAGTGCCCAGGCTGCAAGCTTGAAAATATCCAGCCACAAAAAAAAAAAAAAAAAAAAAAAAAAAAA